AACATTAGATTTTCCATTAGCCTCGACACGTTGCTTGGCAAAGCAGTCCTCTGTTTTGTGGCCTATTTTTTTACAAAACGAGCAAATAACAGACTTTGACTGAAAGGAACTGCTACTTGTTTTTGATGTTGTAGGTTTATCATTTCTAGTAGGTGAATTATGTAATCTTGCACGCTTCGAACAATTTATCTGCTTATGACCAAAGGATCCACACGAAAAACAACCCGTTCTACTAGAACTATGTTCCCTTTTACGCGATAAAGTCGGTGTATTATGAAAACGACTAGAAATGTTGCGGGTATTATGATTTACTTTCGTCTGAGAGGGTTTTACATATATAGACAAGAACTCGACCAGATCATTGGGCATTAATTTTGCATTGGTAGCAGCCGCACGGATCTGTGGATCAACTATACCACGGATTACGATCGCCGATATTAATTCGTCACTAAGTCCGTTTACTATACGAAGACGTAACAAAGATCGCCTAGCATACTCCGCATATGTAGGGTAGTTATTAGAATCAGTTTTCATAGTGTCAAAAAGTATATTCGCTACGTCTACCTTCCGCGGACACAAAGGTTTGAACTCACGTTTAAAATTAGTCCAGCTACGATCGCTAGTAATCCAGTCATTTAACCACACACGAGCGTCCCCCTTTAAGCAGTTACCAATACGCGCCAAACACTCCCTATCGTACCATTGATGAATGATTCGTAAATGGTCGACCTCGTCACACCAAGTATTAATATCATTTATATTAGGATCAAAATTCGATATATAAACATTATGATTAGACCTTACCGGAATTAGTCCATTGATTGCACTTACAATCTTGTCGGCTACCTCAATAGCAGCGCTATCATTGGCGGAGACCTGCGAAGCGTGCACAGACGGCAGTGGAGGCGTCACACACGTCGTTCGCGATGTAGATGGTGCACGCGACACTATGGTGCCAACCGCCGGACCCGGCGACTCCACTACGGGCTGACCGCCAATGGTAGCCACACTAGTTGAACCTAACCTGGAATTGTCTTCCAACACATTCAGACAAGAAACAATCGCCTGGAGTTGTTGGAGCAGCCCAGGGCTCGGAGAACGTTCACATGTCCTACTTTTATTTTTTCGTTGACTTGTACTTGATTTCGGCATTATAAAAAGCTGACGAACTTTCACTCAAAACTAAAAAGATTTACAAAAACAGTTACATCAGAATGCCACAGCAGGCTTAGGGACACACACCAAGCTATAGAAACTTAATGCGTATCCCACTTCTGATTTTATCTATGCACTAACTTTATTATAAAAAAAATTATACACGATGAAATTAAAGATATTACTTTTTATTATTTTTAACGAATAATTAACAATATTAACAATACTAAAATAAATAAGAGAAGCGATGATGTGAACGTCCGTCCGTTCCGGCAGCCACGACAAAAGTAAGTTAGCCGCTCCAGTGTCGGCGACTCGTGCGTTGTCAAGCGAGCCACCACGCCACCATCACGCCACAAATTACGTCACTCAAGCCACGCCCCTATTCTTGAGCATTCTCCGCTAACAATATATATTGTTTTTTTTTTGGTTTGGGTTAGGTTTGGCGAAAATACTCCAATGAGTTATTAGATATTATTACTTCATGTATATCAATTTACACAACGACGATCGATTATATATATTGTTTTTTTTTTTGGTTTGGGTTAGGTTTGGCGAAAAATATTCCAATGAGTTATTAGATATTATTACTACATATATATCAATTTACACAACGACGATCGATTATATATATATTGTTTTTTTTTTGGTTTGGGTTAGGTTTGGCGAAAAATATTCCAATGAGTTATTAGATATTATTACTTCATGTATATCAATTTACACAACGACGATCGATTATATATATGTTTTTTTTTTGGTTTGGGTTAGGTTTGGCGAAAAATATTCCAATAAGTTATTAGATATTATTACTTCATGTATATCAATTTACATAACGACGATCGATTATATATATATTGTTTTTTTTTTGGTTTGGGTTAGGTTTGGCGAAAAATATTGCAATGAGTTATTAGATATTATTACTACATATATATCAATTTACACAACGACGATCGATTATATATATATTGTTTTTTTTTTGGTTTGGGTTAGGTTTGGCGAAAAATATTCCAATGAGTTATTAGATATTATTACTTCATGTATATCAATTTACACAACGACGATCGATTATATATATTGTTTTTTCTTTTGGTTTGGGTTAGGTTTGGTGAAAAATATTCCAATGAGTTATTAGATATTATTACTTCATGTATATCAATTTACACAACGACGATCGATTATATATATATTGTTTTTTCTTTTGGTTTGGGTTAGGTTTGGCGAAAAATATTCCAATGAGTTATTATATATTATTACTTCATGTATATCAATTTACACAACGACGATCGATTATATATTATATTGTTTTTTTTGTGGTTTGTGTTAGGTTTGGCGAAAAATATTCCAATGAGTTATTAGATATTATTACTTCATGTATATCAATTTACACAACGACGATCGATTATATTATATTATATTGTTTTTTTTTGTGGTTTGTGTTAGGTTTGGCGAAGAATATTCCAATGAGTTATTAGATATTATTACTTCATGTATATCAATTTACACAACGACGATCGATTATAATAATAATAATAATAATTTATTTCAGATCAATAATCCATATTACTTAGTTTTTATATTTATGAATACAATTAAATTTAATAATAATAATAATAAAATCTAACAAATTGTTTCTCTATTATATATATATTGTTTTTTTTTGGTTTGGGTTAGGTTTGGCGAAAAATATTCCAATGAGTTATTAGATATTATTACTTCATGTATATCAATTTACACAACGACGATCGATTATATATATATTGTTTTTTTTTTGGTTTGGGTTTGATTTGGCGAAAAATATTCCAATGAGTTATTAGATATTATTACTTCATGTATATCAATTTACACAACGACGATCGATTATATATATATTGTTTTCTTTTTGGTTTGGGTTAGGTTTGGCGAAAAATATTCCAATGAGTTATTAGATATTATTACTTCATGTACATCAATTTACACAACGACGATCGATTATATATATATTGTTTTTTTTTTGGTTTGGGTTAGGTTTGGCGAAAAATATTCCAATGAGTTATTAGATATTATTACTTCATGTATATCAATTTACACAACGACGATCGATTATATATATATTGTTTTTTTTTTTGTTTTGGGTTAGATTTGGCGAAAAATATTCCAATGAGTTATTAGATATTATTACTTCATGTATATCAATTTACACAACGACGATCGATTATATATATATTGTTTTTTTTTTTTGGTTTGGGTTAGGTTTGGCGAAAAATATTCCAATGAGTTATTAGATATAATTACTTCTTGTATATCAATTTACATAACGACGATCGATTATATATATATTGTTTTTTTTTTGGGTTTGGGTTAGGTTTGGCGAAAAATATTCCAATGAGTTATTAGATATTATTACTACATATATATCAATTTACACAACGACGATCGATTATATATATATATTGTTTTTTTTTTGGTTTGGGTTAGGTTTGGCGAAAAATATTCCAATGAGTTATTAGATATTATTACTACATGTATATAAATTTACACAACGACGATCGATTATATATATATTGTTTTTTTTTTTGGTTTGGGTTAGGTTTGGCGAAAAATATTCCAATGAGTTATTAGATATTATTACTTCATGTATATCAATTTACACAACGACGATCGATTATATATATATTGTTTTTTTTTTGGTTTGGGTTAGGTTTGGCGAAAAATATTCCAATGAGTTATTAGATATTATTACTTCATGTATATCAATTTACACAACGACGATCGATTATATATATATTGTTTTTTTTTTTTGGTTTGGGTTAGGTTTGGCGAAAAATATTCCAATGAGTTATTAGATATTATTACTTCATGTATATCAATTTACACAACGACGATCGATTATATATATATATTGTTTTTTTTTTGGTTTGGGTTAGGTTTGGCGAAAAATATTCCAATGAGTTATTAGATATTATTACTTCATGTATATCAATTTACACAACGACGATCGATTATATATATATTGTTTTTTTTTTGGTTTGGGTTGGGTTTGGCGAAAAATATTCCAATGAGTTATTAGATATTATTACTTCATGTATATCAATTTACACAACGACGATCGATTATATATATATTGTTTTTTTTTTGGGTTAGGTTTGGCGAAAAATATTCCAATGAGTTATTAGATATTATTACTTCATGTATATCAATTTACACAAGGACGATCGATTATATATATATATATATAGTTTTTTTTTTTGGTTTGGGTTAGGTTTGGCGAAAAATATTCCAATGAGTTATTAGATATTATTACTTCATGTATATCAATTTACACAACGACGATCGATTATATATATTGTTGAACGAGGATGAATAAGAAGAGGGCGTGGCCACCGATCACGTCACCGATCACGCCACCGATGAGCTGAGACTTCGAGCTATAGGAAGGAGCGTCATCGACGCGTCACTTTTTGCTCGGACGGTCGGCTTGCGCGGACGTGTTAAAGAAATACAGTTTTTTTTAGTGTCAATAATTATTATAAAATTAGTGTTAATAATTTTTGTAAAAGATTCCTAATATAATTTCTATTCATTATTTTTATTTTAAATTTCACTTTTGGTTTATAAGATTATTATAAAATTAGTGTTAATAATTTTTGTAAAAGATTTCTAATATAATTTCTGTTCATTATTATTTTTTATTTTAAATTTCACTTCTGGTTTATAAGATCAGAAGTGGGATAGTGCCTTATGGCCTACCCGCTTTTGGTACATCTGACAAATTTATCAAAGTTTAGACGATAAGTGTTTTCATTTGAATTTAACGTTTGCAAGTAGTTTTCCTTTGTTTTCACTCTGTGTGGTATAAAAGTCGAATTATGTCCGATCAACAATCTCGTTCTCGTAAACGCAAGCGTGACTCTAGCAAGGATGTGCTAGATGCTATCCTTGCCAGGTTGAATACGCTTGAAGAACGTTTTGCTACGCCGCCGCCGCAGCCGTCCGGGCTACCTTTACAGGTTGCTTCAACATCCCTAGAGCATACGCCGCAACCGGTACAACCTGCGCTAACGGGTGGTGCAACCACTGATGACGTACGTGATGACGACTCAACCGCGGGTCGTGCATCTACCTTATTAACGCGAGAAAGCATCTCTACGGGTAGCGATACAACTGGCAGAATCGTGGAGGCTATCACTTCGCTAGTTAAAGTAAGGTCTAATAATTATTTTATTTCTAACTTTGACCCTCAAGTTCACAATATCGACGGTTGGTGTGAGGAAGTAGATAGGGCTAAAGAACTTAACGGATGGGACGATAACGAGTGTCTTTCGCGAATCGGGAACTGTTTGAAGGGAGAAGCGCGTTTATGGCTTAACGAGTGGTCTAGCACCGATCGTTCATGGACAAATTTCAAACGAGAATTTAAAACGTTGTGTCCGCGAACCGTCGATATCGCGAGCATTCTTTACGAAGTGATGTCCAAAGATTCCAAAGGTTATGTTACCTATGCCGAATATGCTAGACGTTCATTATTAAGGTTAGGACTAGTTAAGGGATTGTCTGAAGAACTAATTGTTTCCATAGTAATAAGGGGTATAGCAGATCCTCATATTAAGGCCGCAGCCACTAATGCCAAATTACAACCTAATGATTTAGTACAATTTTTATCGATGTATGTGAAACCAAAAAATGATTTTCGGTATACCCGTGATAATTCTCATGGATCACGTTCTGGTTCTAGTTTATCCACAGTTCGGAATAATGAAACTAAAAAAGGGGCTAGTGATATTAAATGTCATTTTTGTGGAAAGTTTGGGCATAAACGTATAAACTGCATCAGCGCTAAAAGAACTCGGTTAGGTAACATCTCCGGGTCGAGATCGTCTGAAACGGAGACACTGTCATCTTCTGTGAAAACATGTTCATTCTGTAAAAAGAATGGTCATGTAGTCGATGACTGTTTTGCTAAACAACGCTCAGAGTCAACTAAACTTAATCCGCGTAATGTAAATTTTTGTAGTAAATCAGATGGCAATCTCTCAAAATCATCGACTGATGTTACAAGCGCTGTAATCGAAGGTGTACCGGTAGATTTATTAGTAGACAGCGGTTCTTGTATATCACTCATATCGAGTTCACTGTTGAAACATTTTAAGGCTAGCCGGAAACCGACCTATCGCATTTTACGGGGTATAGGAAGTCAGCTTGTTGAATGTACTTCATTTGTGACATTAATTGTTGAACTACCCCACATATCTATCGAAGCTGATTTATACGTAGTACCACATAACTGCATTAGTACTCCGGTTATTATAGGCACTGATATTTTGAATCGTGAGGGTATCACATATATCAGACAAAATGGTGTCCAACTTTTGACGCGTTCAGTTATACCTATATCTGTGAACAATATTCTTGACGTTAGTAATGTGAACACACCTCTTGAAGGTGAAGAGAAGGAACAACTTTTGTCTGTTATAAGTGATTTTTCGAATTCCTTTATAAATGGTACGGCTTCGTCAACAGTTACGACGGGTAGCATGAAAATAGAAGTCTCCAATAATGAACCGGTGTGTTATAGGCCGTATAAATTATCGTATGATGAGAGACTCCGCGTTCGAAATATAGTCAAAGATCTAATGGCTAAGGGCATTATACGTGAATCTGAATCCCCATACGCAAGCCCTGTGATTTTGGTCAAAAAGAAAGACGGCACAGACCGAATGTGTGTAGATTATAGGGCCTTGAACGCACGTACTATCAAAGATAAGTTCCCTTTGCCACTTATAGAGGATCATATCGATAGGTTAGGGTCAAGCGGATTGTTTACGAGTTTAGACATGGCAACTGGTTTCCACCAGGTACCTATGGAGGCGGACTCAATTGCCAAAACCGCTTTTGTAACCCCAGAAGGTCACTTTGAATATGTTAAGATGCCATATGGCCTTTCCAACGCACCAGTGGTTTATCAAAAGATAATTTCAAAGACTCTCAAGTCATTTATCGATTCAGGAAAGGTCTTGGTGTACATAGATGACGTTCTTTTGTTATCCAATACGGTAATTGAAGGAATAGCCTTGCTGCGACAAGTATTAGAAACCCTTACTTTGTCAGGGTTCTCTATAAACCTAAAGAAATGTACTTTTCTTAGTAGCGAAATAGAGTATCTTGGCAGGGTTATTAAAAATGGTCAGGTTAGGCCGAGTATGCGCAAAGTCCAAGCTCTGGTTGATTCTCCTAAGCCTCGTAGTGTCAAACAAATTCGACAGTTCCTTGGCCTTGCGGGGTATTTTAGAAGGTATATTCCCAACTACGCTCAACGTACAGCTTGTATAGCGCGTCTGACTAAAAAGAATATGCCTTTTGAGTGGACTGACGAACAAGACAAAGCTCGCGAGTACATTATTGATTGTCTTACAAATGAACCCGTTCTTGCCATTTATGACCCCCATTTACCTACTGAGCTGCACACTGACGCAAGCGCCATCGGCTACGGTGCAGTCTTGATACAGATTCATAAGGGTGGACTTAGGCGCGCTGTAGCGTATTATAGCAAATCAACCCAAGGCGCGGAATCTAAATACCACTCCTATGAGTTAGAAACCTTGGCTGTAGTCAAAGCCCTCCAGAACTTTAGGAAGTATTTGTTAGGAATATCTTTTAAAATTGTTACCGACTGTAACGCTTTAAAACTAACTGAGCGTAAAAAAGACTTGCTTCCCCGTGTAGCTAGGTGGTGGATGTCTATGCAAGACTTTCAGTATACTTTTGAATATAGAAAAGGGTCTCTAATGTCTCACGCGGACTACCTAAGTAGGAACCCTGTTGATGTACGTCATATACAAAACCCAAAAAATTGGGCTAAGTTAGCTCAATCAGCCGATGAGGAGACACTTAATCTCATTGATAAACTCAATAATGGTCTATTAGACTCTTCCCGGTACATCTTACGAAATGGACTGTTGTTTGTTAAATATTCTCCTGTCGGTGAAGAATCCCGACTTTTATGCTTTATCCCCAAGGGCTACCGACTGAGCTTACTTCACGTGTTTCACGATGACCAAGACCACATTGGATACGATAAAACCGTAGAACTTATTTTACGTCACTTTTGGTTCCCTGGACTACGCTCATTTGTTAGGAAATATCTCAAACACTGTATTGTGTGTCTTTCTCATAAACGGGTGCCACGTGCCCCACATCAACCTATCGAATCCTGGTCTAAGCCAGACACTCCATTCTCGGTAGTGCACATGGACGTACTTGGTCCATTACCTGAATCCCAGGGCTATAAATACGTATTGATTGTTATCGATGCGTTTACAAAGTACTGTCTCTTGTATTCTCTCTATCGTCAAGACGCCGATGAGTTAAAACGAGCATTCACCGATGCAGTTTCGTTGTTTGGGTCTCCGCGGCTTCTAGTCACGGATCGAGGAAGGATGTTCGAGAGCGCCGCTTTTAAAGATATGGTTAGATCGTTTGGTAGTGACATTCACTATATTACGCCAGGTATGCACCATGAAAATGGGCAGGCTGAGCGTTATTGCCGAACTCTCTTAAACCTTTTTCGTATTGAAGTTAACCATAAAAATCAGGGTTGGTCTGACGTATTGTGGAAGACCCAACTTATTCTAAATAGTACTAAACATAGTACGATCAATATGTCTCCTCTCCAATTGCTTGTCGGAAGTGACATTTCCACCCCTGTCATACGTGCCCTTGTCCGAGATGTTGCAATAGATATGGCTACTTCAAATCGTGAAGCTACAATGGCGCTGCGGAGACAACGTGTGTCATCACTATTGTCAACAAACCAGCAAAAACAAGACGATTATGTGAACAGGGGCCGCAGATCACCATGTGAGTTTAATATTAATGACAAGGTATTTGTAATCAAGACTTCACAGGCAGTTGGAAAATTAGACTCCTGCATGCGTGGGCCTTACAAGGTATTGAAACGACTTCCACATCATCGGTATGAATTGGAGTTGTTGGCTGGCTCGTATGGAAAGCGTACAGAGGCTGCAGCTGAAAACATGGTAGCGTGGGCAGGAGAGTGGACCCCCGAGACCTGCGCCGCATTCTTTGAATGTAAGTCGTCGATGAAATTATACTGACATGTAAAAGTATTGCTTATGTTAAAGTTTTGTGCATTTATACAATGTTCATGTTGGTATCGAGTGTGATTCTCTACCACGGCAGATGGAATGTTCCTCTGGACCCTCTTCCATATTCACGTTGACATGGAGATGTGTTCTCTGTCACGGCAGATGGATTACTCATTAGAGTTTTTCCATATTCACGTTGACATGGAGATGTGTTCTCTGTCACGGCAGATGGATTACTCATTAGAGTTTTTCCATATTCACGTTGGTATTGAGTGTGATTCTCTACCACGGCAGGGCAGTTAGCTCATAAGGGGCACTGTCACGGTATACTAGTCACTACCGCGATAAAGACAATTACCGATCAGTTGCTATATCGCACATATGAATGAGGGCCCTCCCGAGATTGATGTGTATGAACGGAGTAAATAGCTTGAATGTTTTGTGTGAGAAGTCTGTGTAATGTCATGAAGTATAAAGACTAGTTTTGAAAGGAGTATGCTTATTATGAGTCACAAAGATGTATTCTAATGTGTCCAATTAATTTGTGATTTTCAGCGGAGTCTGATGATTCTATGCACGATACATCGGTGGAAGCTGAGACGAGTTCAAGTGTTGAACACAGCAGAGTGGCGGACGAGGACGACCGCCCGTCAGGAGAGGCCGTGTTGAACGAGGATGAATAAGAAGAGGGCGTGGCCACCGATCACGTCACCGATCACGCCACCGATGAGCTGAGACTTCGAGCTATAGGAAGGAGCGTCATCGACGCGTCACTTTTTGCTCGGACGGTCGGCTTGCGCGGACGTGTTAAAGAAATACAGTTTTTTTTTAGTGTCAATAATTATTATAAAATTAGTGTTAATAATTTTTGTAAAAGATTCCTAATATAATTTCTATTCATTATTTTTATTTTAAATTTCACTTTTGGTTTATAAGATTATTATAAAATTAGTGTTAATAATTTTTGTAAAAGATTTCTAATATAATTTCTGTTCATTATTATTTTTTTATTTTAAATTTCACTTCTGGTTTATAAGAATATATATTGTTTTTTTTTTGGTTTGGGTTAGGTTTGGCGAAAAATATTCCAATTAGTTATTAGATATTATTACTTCATGTATATCAATTTACACAACGACGATCGATTATATATATATTGTTTTTTTTTGGTTTGGGTTAGGTTTGGCGAAAAATATTCCAATGAGTTATTAGATATTATTACTTCATGTATATCAATTTACACAACGACGATCGATTATATATATATTGTTTTTTTTTTTGGTTTGGGTTAGGTTTGGCGAAAAATATTCCAATGAGTTATTAGATATTATTACTTCATGTATATCAATTTACACAACGACGATCGATTATATATATATATTGTTTTTTTTTTTTTGGTTTGGGTTAGGTTTGGCGAAAAATATTCCAATGAGTTATTAGATATTATTACTTCATGTATATCAATTTACACAACGACGATCGATTATATATATATTGTTTTTTTTTTTTTTGGTTTGGGTTAGGTTTGGCGAAAAATATTCCAATGAGTTATTAGATATTATTACTTCATGTATATCAATTTACACAACGACGATCGATTATATATATATTGTTTTTTTTTGGTTTGGGTTAGGTTTGGCGAAAAATATTCCAATGAGTTATTAGATATTATTACTTCATGTATATCAATTTACACAACGACGATCGATTATATATATATTGTTTTTTTTTTGGTTTGGGTTAGGTTTGGCGAAAAATATTCCAATGAGTTATTAGATATTATTACTTCATGTATATCAATTTACACAACGACGATCGATTATATATATATATTGTTTTTTTTTTTTTTGTTTGGGTTAGGTTTGGCGAAAAATCACGCCTCCAAGCGGAATTGCGCGACCTCAAGCAGGAGTTTGCAGCATTGAGAGCGCAAATGGAGTCCTCTCGGGCTGATCTGCGTCCTACGACATCTGTGGCCCAGGTCCCGGCAGTTCCCCCGCCACAACATCCGGCGGGCGTAGACGAACTAGCCCAGACGATCATGGTTCAGGTGGGGACCATGATCAGTGCCCGTTTCGAGGCCCTTGAGGACCGCCTCCTGCCTGAGCGGCGAATGCGCCCTCCGCTGGCGGCAGACAAGCCGCAGGAAAAGACGCCGGCAAAACCGGCAGAGAGAGGGACCGGAGTAACGACCCTGGTTGCCCCGGCAAATCCGGCCCCCAGTGCAAAGAAGGGGAGAAAGAAGGCTACAAAAATGCCTGAACAACAGCCGGCTGAACCAGCTCCAACGGTGGCAACTGAGCAGGTCACTTCAGCTCCTTCTACTACAGAGGGATGGAACGTGGTTGTGAGGCGGGGGACCAAAAAGACGACGGCTAAAAAGACGACGGCTACAAAACAACAGCCAAAGAAATCAGACGTGCCGCTCAAGAAGAAGAAGAAAGTCGGAAAACTCCGGCCTCCTCGCTCGGCAGCAGTGATGTTAAAGCTCCAGCCCTCAGCTGTCGAGCGAAAAGTCACATACGGGGAGGTCTTTGCTCAGGTAAAGGCGAAAGTTGACCTGACCGAGTTGGGCATCAAGGATGTCCGCTTTAAGGTGGCCGCAACGGGCGCTCGAATGCTGGAGATACCGGGGGCAAACGGCGGCGAAAAGGCGGATGTCCTTGCACAGGCATTGAAGGGGGTCTTGGACGGGGAAGACGTTAAAGTCTCCAGGCCCACCAAGTGTGCCGAGCTTCGGGTAACCGGTCTAGATGACTCGGTAACCCCGACAGAATTGGCGGAGGCCATCAGCCGGACAGGCGGCTGCAGTACCGATTTGGTCAAGGCGGGTGACATTCGCCGGGAGAGTTTTGGGCTGGGGACGGCGTGGGTCCGTTGCCCGGTTGTCGCTGCCAAGAAGATAGTGGACGGCGGCCGCCTTCTTGTGGGCTTAGTGTCTGCGCAGGTGAAACTACTGCAGGCCCGACCACAGCGCTGCTATCGCTGCCACGAGGGTGGCCATGTCCGCGGCGCGGTGCACGGGGGCGATAGACCGCAGTGCGGAATGCTACAGGTGCGGACAGACGGGTCACCTGCGCAGCCAGTGCACATCAGCACCTCACTGTGCAGTTTTGCGAGGCGTCGAAGAGGCCAGCGGACCACACGGTGGGAAGTGCGGCCTGCACGCGGTCCCAACCAAAAAAGAAGAAGAGAGTGACACCTGGGCAATCGGCTCAGGAGAAGCCGGTTCACAACAGGGCCGAGGTGGTTAAGGCCATGGACACTTAATAATGGCTTTAAAAGTGTTGCAGGCGAATCTGAACCACTGCGCCAGAGCTCAGGACCTGTTTGTCCAAAGCCTGGTGCAGTGGTCGGTGCAGGTGGCGATAGCGGCGGAGCCTTACTCGGTCCCCCCGCGTGACAATTGGGCGGGTGACAATGATGGACTGGTGGCCATCGTCTCCCAGGTCGCCGCGGGCTCTCCACCCTTTACGCGTATTGTGAGGGGCTCGGGATGCGTTGCGGCACTGCTGGGTGATATGGCGGTCGTGGGAGTATATTTCTCCCCCAACCGGCCCGTCGCCGAGTTTGAGCAGTTCCTGGACGAGGTGGCGGAAACTCTCTCGGACCTTCCAGGCCCGGATCCTGGTAATCGCGGGGGACCTCAATGCAAAATCAAGCATGTGGGGCTCGCCATCAACGAATGCAAGGGGGAGGTTTGCTAGAGGAGAGGAGTGGGTGGTTGCCACCAATTTGACTGTCCTTAACCGGGGGACGGCAAACACGTGCGTGCGATGGCAGGGCGGGTCCATCGTGGACGTCACGTTCGCGAGCCCGGCCTTAGCGCGCCGTGTCCAGGGCTGGCGAGTGCTGGAAGATGTGGAGACTCTCTCGGACCACTTATACATCCAATTTGAGGTCTCCACACATCCGGCGGTGCCGCCAGGCCCAGTCGAACCTCGGGAGAGGACGGCCCGAGGTGGCAATTAAAGCGCCTTGATGCGGAGGTGTTGAAGGAGGCGGTGATAGTGGCCTCATGGCTGCCCCAAACCACCGGGGATGTCGCAGACTCGGCAGAGGGACTAGTGGAGTTAGTAACGCGGGTCTGCGACCAATGCATGCCGCGCTCTAGGCGCTGCCCGTCCTAGGCGCCAAGTGTACTGGTGGTCGGCGGCGATTGCGCAATTGCGCGAAGAGTGTGTGGCTGCCAGACGCCAGTACACGCGCTGTCGGAGGAGGCGCTTTAGGAGCCTTAATGCCGCTGATAGGGAGAGGCATCAAATGGAGGAGGATAGGCTATACTCCATCTATACTGCCACAAAAACCAGCTTGCAGGTGGCGATAGTTGAGTCGCAGACCACTGCCAGGGAGCGAATGCTGGATGAGCTTAATCGCGATCCCTGGGGGACGCCCTATAGGATGGTGCGAAAACCAGCTCCGTCCTTGGGCTCCCCCACTTACGCAGTCTCTCCAGCCCAGCGTAGTCCGGGAAGTGGTCGCGGCTCTGTTTCCCCATGGTGTGCAGGCAGAACATCAGCCGCCACCAATGGCCCCACGGGTAACGAGGGAGGAGGAGAGAGAAGTCCCGGAAGTTGCTGAAGAGGAGCTGGAAAGTGCCGTAGCTCGCCTCCGGGCAAAGAATGTCGCCCCCGGCCCTGATGGTGTCCCAGGGAAAGTGTGGGTTCTGGCCATGGAGTTCTTGGAGCAAAGAGTTCGAGGACTATTTACTGCCTGTCTGGCTCAAGCCATAATTCCACAGCGGTGGAAGACAGGCAGACTAGTCCTCCTCAAAAAGGAGGGGCGGCCCGCGGAATCTCCGTCTGCGTATCGCCCCATCGTCCTCCTCGACGAAGTGGCCAAGCTCTTCGAGCGTGTGGTGGCCGGGCGTCTAGTGGCGCATTTAGAGCAGGTGGGACCCAACCTCTCCGACGTCCAGTTTGGCTTTCGCGGTGGCCGTTCCACCGTGGATGCCATTCTGCGCGTCCGGTCCCAGGCGCAGGAAGCAGTCTCCCGGGGCGAAGTCGTTATCGCGGTGTCACTCGACATCGCGAACGCGTTTAACGCATTGCCCTGGAGCTGCATAAGGGAGGCGCTCCGTTATCATGGGGTGCCGACCTACCTCCGTCGCGTCGTGGAGGCCTACCTGTCGGAGAGGTGGGTGACGTTCCCAGGACAGGATGGGTGGGAAAGTCGGGAGGTGGTGTGCGGTGTTCCACAGGGGTCGGTGCTTGGACCGCTCCTGTGGAACATCGGATATGACTGGGTGTTAAGGGGTGCCGGTCTAAGAGGTGTTAAGGTCACATGCTATGCTGATGACACACTAGTTACAGCTCGTCAGGCGACCTATAGAGAGGCGGCGATATTGGCAACGGCGGGGGTTGCACATGTTGTGGGGCGAATCCGGCGGCTGGGTTTGAACGTGGCCCTGGAGAAGTCGGAGGCCGTGTGTTTTCACGGTCCTCGGAGGGCGCCGCCTTTGGATGCGCACATTGTTGTTGGAGGGTTCCGCATAGACGTGAAAAGGACATTGAAGTACCTCGGCCTTGTGCTAGATAGCCGGTGGGACTTCCGGGCACACTTCAGTGCTTTGGTGCCGCGGTTACTGAAGGAGTCGGCGGCGCTATGTAGGCTCTGCCAAACATAGGTGGGCCAAGTGTAGCAACGCGGAGGCTATACACAGGAGTGGTTCGCTCGATGGCGATGTACGGTGCCCCAGTGTGGGCGGATGGCCTGTCTCGCGACAACATCGCCCTGCTGCGGAGGGTGCAGAGGGTGATGGCGATTAGGGCCATAAGGGGATACCGTACGATCTCGGCGGAGGCGGCGTGCTTGCTGGCCGGCCTATTGCCTTGGGACCTGGATGCGCGTTCCTTGGCGTCGATTTATTGTCGGCGTCGAGGCCTAGCGTCCGGGGACCCCAGCACAGCGCCAATCGAGCAGGAGGACGAGCGGGTTGCCGCGGTACAAGAGTGGAGGTCCAGGCTGGAGCGCCCTTGCGCTGGCCGACGGACCGTCGAGGCAGTTCGCCCCGTTCTCGCACAGTGGTTGGGTAGGCGTCATGGCGTCTTAACCTTCCGCGCCACGCAGATCCTCTCGGGGCATGGTTGCTTCGGGGGGTACCTGTGTCGGGTCGCCGGGAGGGAGCCCTCTCCTCGCTGCCACCACTGTGACGACTGCCCGGACGAGTCGGCCCAGCATACGCTGGAGGTGTGCCCGGCCTGGGAGACGGAGCGCGAGGCGCTCCAGAGTGTCATAGGGGCGGACCTGACGTTGCCGGCTGTGATCTCAGCCATGGCCGGTAGCGAAAGGTCCTGGGATGCCGTCCTGTCCTTCTGCGAGGTGGTGATGTCGCAGAAGGAGGCGGCGGAGAGGGCGAGAGAGGCCAACGCCGAGCTCGCCATCCGCCGCAGAAGGACCGGGCGCCGGAGAGCGGTGTACGATCGCCGCCTCCCCCCTTAACACCAGCCAGAGGGTGGTCGGCTTGGGGAAGTCGGCCGCCCACTAATCTGGCCCGAGTAGGCGTGCGCGGAGACGTCCGCGCGCCACTCGAAGAAGGCCATCGGGGGTTAGCCCCCTGATAAGGTACGGGCCGTAAGAGGCTCTCGCCGCTGGGGTCTACAGAGGAATACGGATACCTGTGACCCCAGCTTTGTGGCGACAAGGTGGCCTTTCGTCAGGTTTTTAGTGGGTAGGCTGCCGCGCGTTTTCCATCTTTGCGCGGCAGGAGCCCCACATAACCCGTTCCGCCTATCCCCAGGCGGACGGGTACCCGGGAACAGGGTTTTCCTGACGTTAAAAAAAAAAAAAAAAAAAAAAAAAAAAAGGTTTGGCGAAAAATATTCCAATGAGTTATTAGATATTATTACTTCATGTATATCAATTGACACAACGACGATCGATTATATATATATTGTTTTTTTTTTTTTGGTTTGGGTTAGGTTTGGCGAAAAATATTCCAATGAGTTATTAGATATTATTACTTCATGTATATCAATTTACACAACGACGATCGATTATATATATATTGTTTTTTTTTTGGTTTGGGTTAGGTTTGGCGAAAAATATTCCAATGAGTTATTAGATATTATTACTTCATGTATATCAATTTACACAACGACGATCGATTATATATAATTGTTTTTTTTTTTGGTTTGGGTTAGGTTTGGCGAAAAATATTCCAATGAGTTATTAGATATTATTACTTCATGTATATCAATTTACACAACGACGATCGATTATATATATTGTTTTTTTTTTGGTTTGGGTTAGATTTGGCGAAAAATATTCCAAATGAGTTATTAGATATTATTACTTCATGTATATCAATTATATTGTTTTTTTTTTTGGTTTGGGTTAGGTTTGGCGAAAAACATTCCAATGAGTTATTAGATATTATTACTTCATGTATATCAATTTACACAACGACGATCGATTATATATATTGTTTTTTTTTTTTTTTGGTTTGGGTTAGGTTTGGCGAAAAAATATTCCAATGAGTTATTAGATATTATTACTTCATGTATATCAATTTACACAACGACGATCGATTATATATATATATTGCTTTTTTTTTTGTTTTGGGTTTGGTTTGGCGAAAAATATTCCAATGAGTTATTAGATATTATTACTTCATGTATATCAATTTACACAACGACGATCGATTATATATATATTGTTTTTTTTTTTGTTTGTGTTAGGTTTGGCGAAAAATATTCCAATGAGTTATTAGATATTATTACTTCATGTATATCAATTTACACAACGACGATCGATTATATATATATTGTTTTTTTTTTTTGGTTTGAGTTAGGTTTGGCGAAAAATATTCCAATGAGTTATTAGATATTATTACTTCATGTATATCAATTTACACAACGACGATCGATTATATATATATTGTTTTTTTTTTTGGTTTGGGTTAGGTTTGGCGAAAAATATTCCAATGAGTTATTAGATATTATTACTTCATGTATATCAATTTACACAACGACGATCGATTATATATATATTGTTTTTTTTTTGGTTTGGGTTAGGTTTGGCGAAAAATATTCCAATGAGTTATTAGATATTATTACTTCATGTATATCAATTTACACGACGACGACTGATTATATATATATTGTTTTTTTTTTTTGGTTTGGGTTAGGTTTGGCGAAAAATATTCCAATGAGTTATTAGATATTATTGCTTCATGTATATCAATTTACACAACGACGATCGATTATATATATATTGTTTTTTTTTTTGGTTTGGGTTAGGTTCGGCGAAAAATATTCCAATGAGTTATTAGATATTATTACTTCATGTATATCAATTTACACAACGACGATCGATTATATATATATTGTTTTTTTTTTTTGGTTTGGGTTGGGTTTGGCGAAAAATATTCCAATGAGTTATTAGATATTATTACTTCATGTATATCAATTTACACAACGACGATCGATTATATATATATATAGTTTTTTTTTTTGGTTTGGGTTAGGTTTGGCGAAAAATATTCCAATGAGTTATTAGATATTATTACTTCATGTATATCAATTTACACAACGACGATCGATTATATATATATTGTTTTTTTTTTGGTTTGGGTTAGGTTTGGCGAAAAATATTCCAATGAGTTATTAGATATTATTACTTCATGTATATCAATTTACACAACGACGATCGATTATATATATATATATATATGTAGTTTTTTTTTTTGGTTTGGGTTAGGTTTGGCGAAAAATATTCCAATGAGTTATTAGATATTATTACTTCATGTATATCAATTTACACAACGACGATCGATTATATATATCGGCGCAACATCATTTATTTAAGATATTTACTTAAGCTACTTAGGATATTGTCTCTTAAAATTAATTATTTACAATCATGTTTTCATAAAAGTTGTCTTTTGATTATTGTTTGTCATAAAGATTGTTATTTGATTTAAAAGAACAAAATACTAAAATGAGTTACAGTTAAAATGAATACACTTAACTAATGTTTTTAATTATGTTAATTATTATAAATAGATACAGTGCATGTTAATAATTTATAAAATCTGTTTTTGTAAAATCATAATAGAGCTCCCCACTCTTTGAGTTTGGTATAAATACGAATAGCGGACGTCACACGGGTGATTTTGGCACAAGCAACCGAGCAGTGCGGAGCTCTACTGAAGTATTGTTTCTTGCCTACCTTCAATAAAAGGATTATTGGAAGAACTTCTAGTTTGAATTTGTATTACCATGAACAATGAAAATAATAATGAAGAGAATGACGTCAGCAATGCTGACGTCATTATTTTTAAAAACAATACGGCGTCTGGAGCTTCGTTATCAGAAGTGGGATCGCTCGCCACTTCCGCTCAACAACAACCTGATGCTACAACAGAACCAGACCATAGATTGAATACCACAAGCAATACTGGAACTGTGTTGCCGCAAGACCAGCCACAATCAGCATTGTTAAACGCATCAATGAACAGTATACCACCGCAATTCCTTATGCAGATAATGCAAGTGATGCAGCAAATGTCGGAACGTTTAAGTACACCACCAGAAACGAAAATACGTATTAATGACATTTACTTACCATCTTTTGAACCCGACACTAATGTGGGAGTACGTGAGTGGTGTCAACACATCGACAAGGCCATTGAAACATACAGACTCAAACGATTTTGATATACGAATGAAAGTTGGCAGCCTCCTAAAGGGAAGAGCGAAAATGTGGGTTGACGATTGGTGGTCACCCAGCTTCATGGGCTGAACTGCGTAACAACCTCATCACAACGTTCGAGCCAGAAAACCGTTTATTCTCGAGACATAGTTCGATTCAGAGAACATGTTTATGACTCTTCAAAAGACATCTCGGTTTTTATCACGTGCTTGGGTCTTATGGAGAAGAATCACCAAGGACAAACTATCAAATGAAGATGCAGTTGAAGCAGTGATTGGTTGTGTAAACGATGAAAGACTTAGGATCGAGCTACTGAACACGCGGGCCACAACGGTACCGAGCTGATATCTGTTGCATCATCTATAAGAACAATGAAGCGTGCTCACCCGAATTCAAATAGTGTGAACACAAGTAAACGACCACGATTTTCAAACGCAACTCCATCGACTTACCCTGCCGTATCGTAAAAGATCTAATCACACTACTAGCGAATGTTATTATAAGCCTACTGAATCCAAACCTGAACAAAGGAACAAAACTAAAACCGAAACAACAACAAGGAAGTAACCAGAACAATAAAACAACAATCTGTTCATTTTGCAAAATACCAGGGCACTCTTTGAAACCTGCTTCAAACGCGAACGTTCATTAACATCAAACGTAAATTACATTGCTGGATCAAAACTAGCTCCGATTCAGGTAAAGATTGGACCAAGAACTTTTCAGGCAGTTTTTGATAGTGGTGCAGAATGCTCACTTATACGAGAATCTATAGCAGCTCAATTGCCAGGAAAAAGACTAGAAACGGTAAATTACTTGATGGGAATTGGACAATTTCCTGTACTTTCAATAGCTACACTTGTTACGATTGGGGTCATTGATAACATCAATGTTGAACCACAATTCTACATAGTGGCGGACTACGAGATGACGACAGATATTTTAATAGGAATGAACTTGATAAATAATACAAATCTCACTATGATGATTACTTCGGTTGGAACAAGGTTAACACGTCTGCTGAATATCAATCAGGTTCAATGTATGAACCCGATCTTTGATAAATTGGATTGTGACCTCACGAGTGAAGAAGATATTACAAAATTACGCACGCTTCTGAACAAATATCAACACCTGTTTATCAGAGGTTACCCAACAACTCGTGTCAAGACTGGCGAACTCGAAATCCGCTTGAAGAACCCAGACAAGTACGTAGAACGAAGACCATATAGGCTCAGTCCAGTTGAACGAGAAAAAGTAAGAGCTATTGTAAATGAATTGATGGAGCATGGCATTATGCGCGAAAGTAAGTCTCCATACCCCAGTCCCATCATCTTGGTTAAAAAGAAAAATGGCGATGACCGTATGTGCGTGGATTTTAGAGAGCTTAACTCTAATACATTACGAGATCACTATCCATTACCACTAATTTCGGATCAAATTGACCAACTGCCAAAGGACAGTTCTTCACAACCTTTGACATGGCTGCTCTAAAACGTACGGTTCACCTATTCGGTACTCCAGTCCAAATCGTAGTCGACGGAGGCAGAGAGTTTTTGGGCGAATTTAAAACCTACTGTGACCGGGTAGGAATAGATGTCCACGCTATAGCACCAGGAGTCAGCCGAGCCAATGGGCAAGTAGAACGTGTCGTAGCAACATTAAAAAATACTCTTGTTATGATCAAGAATTACGAAACAGAAGAATGGCACACGACACTTGAAGAACTTCAACTGGCACTAAACTGCACTTCTCATCGTGTGACAGGCGTGGCTCCGCTTACTTTACTTACCCAACGCAGACATTGTGTTCCTCCAGAACTGCTAACTCTCGTAAATATTGACGAGCAGACTATTGATATTGAAGCACTCACTAGCCATGTTCAACAAAAAATGTCACAAAATGCAGAACAGGACAAGCAACGCTTCAATTCAAAAAAAGCAAAGATTCGTCAGTTTCAGCGAGGTGATTATGTACTCATTAAAAATAATCCTCGTAACCAAACTTCATTGGATCTAAAATTTAGCGAGCCCTACGAAATATTGAAAATCCTGAACAACGACCGCTATCTAGTAAAAAAGGTGGTTGGTTCAGGGCGTCCAAGAAAAGTTGCACATGATCAACTTCGTCGGGCACCTCAACCTGGAGACCAGATGACCGTATCGGCGGAAGAAGTCGACTCTCCAGCATCAACCAATGAGGCTATAGCATCTACTTCACGAAGCAATATAGTCGAACAACGAACTCAAGAGTAAGCAGATTAAACAAAGGTATGTTTATATTCGATTATTAAAATGTCACTACAATAGTTACACATACATCACAATGTACCACAGAGTACGCAACAACATAGTACCACAGTGTACGCAATAACATAGTACCACAGAGTACGCAATAACATAGTACCACAGAGTACACAATAACATAGTACCACAGTGTACTTTATGTTTACAATAGTACCACAGTGTACGTTATATTTACAATAGTACCACAGTGTACGCCACAATAAAAATTACACAAAATAAATTACTATAATAAAATCATATCATGTTATACTTAAAGGTACACAGATACCAAGCTCAAAAAGAAACATTTCACTGTTTCAGATGAACTTCGAGAATTCTCCGATAAAACGTCATACATGCGGCTGGTGCAGAGCGCGCACCGCCGGTCAGAACGGCCGTATCGGCGCAACATCATTTATTTAAGATATTTACTTAAGCTACTTAGGATATTGTCTCTTAAAATTAATTATTTACAATCATGTTTTCATAAAAGTTGTCTTTTGATTATTGTTTGTCATAAAGATTGTTATTTGATTTAAAAGAACAAAATACTAAAATGAGTTACAGTTAAAATGAATACACTTAACTAATGTTTTTAATTATGTTAATTATTATAAATAGATACAGTGCATGTTAATAATTTATAAAATCTGTTTTTGTAAAATCATAATAGAGCTCCCCACTCTTTGAGTTTGGTATAAATACGAATAGCGGACGTCACACGGGTGATTTTGGCACAAGCAACCGAGCAGTGCGGAGCTCTACTGAAGTATTGTTTCTTGCCTACCTTCAATAAAAGGATTATTGGAAGAACTTCTAGTTTGAATTTGTATTACCATGAACAATGAAAATAATAATGAAGAGAATGACGTCAGCAATGCTGACGTCATTATTTTTAAAAACAATACGGCGTCTGGAGCTTCGTTATATATATATTGTTTTTTTTGGTTTGGGTTAGGTTTGGCGAAAAATATTCCAATGAGTTATTAGATATTATTACTTCATGTATATCAATTTACACAACGACGATCGATTATATATATATTGTTTTTTTTTGGTTTGGGTTAGGTTTGGCGAAAAATATTCCAATGAGTTATTAGATATTATTACTTCATGTATATCAATTTACACAACGACGATCGATTTTATATATATTGTTTTTTTTTTTTGGTTTGGGTTAGGTTTTGGCGAAAAATATTCCAATGAGTTATTAGATATTATTACTTCATGTATATCAATTGACACAACGACGATCGATTATATATATATTGTTTTTTTTTTTGGTTTGGGTTAGGTTTTGGCGAAAGATATTCCAATGAGTTATTAGATATTATTACTTCATGTATATCAATTTACACAACGACGATCGATTATATAAATATTGTTTTTTTTTTTTGGTTTGGGTTAGATTTGGCGAAAAATATTCCAATGAGTTATTAGATATTATTACTTCATGTATATCAATTTACACAACGACGATCGATTATATATATATTGTTTTTTTTTTTTGGTTTGAGTTAGGTTTGGCGAAAAATATTCCAATGAGTTATTAGATATTATTACTTCATGTATATCAATTTACACAACGACGATCGATTATATATATATTGTTTTTTTTTTTTTTGGTTTGGGTTAGGTTTGGCGAAAAATATTCCAATGAGTTATTAGATATTATTACTTCATGTATATCAATTTATATTGTTTTTTTTTTGGTTTGGGTTAGGTTTGGCGAAAAATATTCCAATGAGTTATTAGATATTATTACTTCATGTATATCAATTTACACAACGACGATCGATTATATATATATTGTTTTTTTTTTTTGGTTTGGGTTAGGTTTGGCGAAAAATATTCCAATGAGTTATTAGATATTATTACTTCATGTATATCAATTTACACAACGACGATCGATTATATATATATTGTTTTTTTTTTTGTTTGGGTTTGGTTTGGCGAAAAATATTCCAATGAGTTATTAGATATTATTACTTCATGTATATCAATTTACACAACGACGATCGATTATATATATATTGTTTTTTTTTTTGGTTTGCGTTAGGTTTGGTGAAAAATATTCCAATGAGTTATTAGATATTATTACTTCATATATATCAATTTACACAACGACGATCGATTATATATATATTGTTTTTTTTTTGGTTTGAGTTAGGTTTGGCGAAAAATATTCCAATGAGTTATTAGATATTATTACTTCATGTATATCAATTTACACAACGACGATCGATTATATATATATTGTTTTTTTTTTTGGTTTGGGTTAGGTTTGGCGAAAAATATTCCAATGAGTTATTAGATATTATTACTTCATGTATATCAATTTACACAACGACGATCGATTATATATATATATTGTTTTTTTTTTGGTTTGGGTTAGGTTTGGCGAAAAATATTCCAATGAGTTATTAGATATTATTACTTCATGTATATCAATTTACACAACGACGATCGATTATATATATATTGTTTTTTTTTTTTTGGTTTGGGTTAGGTTTGGCGAAAAATATTCCAATGAGTTATTAGATATTATTACTTCATGTATATCAATTTACACAACGACGATCGATTATATATATATATTGTTTTTTTTTTTGGTTTGGGTTAGGTTTGGCGAAAAATATTCCAATGAGTTATTAGATATTATTACTTCATGTATATCAATTTACACAACGACGATCGATTATATATATATATTATATTGTTTTTTTTTTTTTGGTTTGGGTTAGGTTTGGCGAAAAATATTCCAATGAGTTATTAGATATTATTACTTCATGTATATCAATTTACACAACGACGATCGATTATATATATATATAGTTTTTTTTTTTTGGTTTGGGTTAGGTTTGGCGAAAAATATTCCAATGAGTTATTAGATATTATTACTTCATGTATATCAATTTACACAACGACGATCGTTATATATATATATTGCGATCGATTATATATATATATTTGTTTTTTTTTTGGTTTGGGTTAGGTTTGGCGAAAAATATTCCAATGAGTTATTAGATATTATTACTTCATGTATATCAATTTACACAACGACGATCGATTATATATATATATATATATATATGTAGTTTTTTTTTTTGGTTTGGGTTAGGTTTGGCGAAAAATATTCCAATGAGTTATTAGATATTATTACTTCATGTATATCAATTTACACAACGACGATCGATTATATATATCGGCGCAACATCATTTATTTAAGATATTTACTTAAGCTACTTAGGATATTGTCTCTTAAAATTAATTATTTACAATCATGTTTTCATAAAAGTTGTCTTTTGATTATTGTTTGTCATAAAGATTGTTATTTGATTTAAAAGAACAAAATACTAAAATGAGTTACAGTTAAAATGAATACACTTAACTAATGTTTTTAATTATGTTAATTATTATAAATAGATACAGTGCATGTTAATAATTTATAAAATCTGTTTTTGTAAAATCATAATAGAGCTCCCCACTCTTTGAGTTTGGTATAAATACGAATAGCGGACGTCACACGGGTGATTTTGGCACAAGCAACCGAGCAGTGCGGAGCTCTACTGAAGTATTGTTTCTTGCCTACCTTCAATAAAAGGATTATTGGAAGAACTTCTAGTTTGAATTTGTATTACCATGAACAATGAAAATAATAATGAAGAGAATGACGTCAGCAATGCTGACGTCATTATTTTTAAAAACAATACGGCGTCTGGAGCTTCGTTATATATATATTGTTTTTTTTTGGTTTGGGTTAGGTTTGGCGAAAAATATTCCAATGAGTTATTAGATATTATTACTTCATGTATATCAATTTACACAACGACGATCGATTATATATATATTGTTTTTTTTTTGGTTTGGGTTAGGTTTGGCGAAAAATATTCCAATGAGTTATTAGATATTATTACTTCATGTATATCAATTTACACAACGACGATCGATTTTATATATATTGTTTTTTTTTTTTGGTTTGGGTTAGGTTTGGCGAAAAATATTCCAATGAGTTATTAGATATTATTACTTCATGTATATCAATTGACACAACGACGATCGATTATATATATATTGTTTTTTTTTTTGGTTTGGGTTAGGTTTGGCGAAAGATATTCCAATGAGTTATTAGATATTATTACTTCATGTATATCAATTTACACAACGACGATCGATTATATATATATTGTTTTTTTTTTTGGTTTGGGTTAGATTTGGCGAAAAATATTCCAATGAGTTATTAGATATTATTACTTCATGTATATCAATTTACACAACGACGATCGATTATATATATATTGTTTTTTTTTTGGTTTGGGTTAGGTTTGGCGAAAAATATTCCAATGAGTTATTAGATATTATTACTTCATGTATATCAATTTACACAACGACGATCGATTATATATATATTGTTTTTTTTTTTTTGGTTTGGGTTAGATTTGGCGAAAAATATTCCAATGAGTTATTAGATATTATTACTTCATGTATATCAATTTACACAACGACGATCGATTATATATATATTGTTTTTTTTTTTTGGTTTGGGTTAGGTTTGGCGAAAAATATTCCAATGAGTTATTAGATATTATTACTTCATGTATAGTATCGGCGTTGTCGCATCCTCTACTCCTGCAGCCGTTTGGGGTGGTTCGGTTTCGGACGCCGTGGAGGTTTGCCCAATTTGGGCAGGAAGGTTTAGGCTTAGGCCGCTTGTGTTTGCAGGTTGCCCACTTCGGTGGGCGGTGTTTGGTGTTGTGGGGCTGCTCCGGGTACTTCTCTGTTCAGCAGAGTGGACTTGGGATCAGTCTCACTTGTCAGGGTTGCAAGTCTTCCCATAATGGGGTCGTCCCGCTTGGGGCGGCCTCATGGTTGGTGGCTTCGGCCAACCGTCGGGGCGTCACGGTTGTATGCGAAAGCGGTCCCGTGGCGTTCCACATGGCGGCTGTGGGGAAAGTTGGGTTTTAGTG